TTAAATAAATAAATACATCATGAAATAAATAAATGTCCCATGAATGACAAATGTACCAATACATGTCCCACTGACTAAATGTATCATTTAATTATTTAATATGTCATAAAATCATTAAATATAAAATTAAATTCTGAAATGCACAATTAATTAATTAAATTTTTACTCAACTAAATACAGTATATCATGACAAATAAATGTATATCTCCAATTAAATAAATAAATGCACCATGAAATAAACAAATGTCTTATGAAATACATAAATATACCACTAAATAAGTGTATCAGTTAATTATTTAATACATAATTAAATATACCATTAAATTATGAAATGCAGAATTAATCAGTTCAAGAAATGCATGCACCTTTTAAAAAAGGGACATTAAATAATTAAATGCCATTTTCAAGAAATGTGTCACACTTATTGAGCACACAACAAGCTTGTGCAAACACAAGTTGCAGACGCACGGAAAGAAGTTGGTTTCAGGAGGTTGGAATCAAACGACATCTTCCTAATCAGAAATAAATAAATTAAAATTAAAGAAGGACTCTTTATGCCCTGCATGTAATATGACAGAATAAACATTTGCCTGATAATGAATTACTGAATGTTAAGTCAAATCAAATATTTAAAATCTTTAACGAAATGCAAACCAGCTCGTAAAATCTAAAGGCTACAGGTGTGAAACTGCATCGTTAGGAAAAATCACAGACGGCAGTTTTAAAAAAATAAAAATAAAACTCTCCGCCTCGCACAAAGATGGATTTCAGGATTGATGGGGCCCATATGGCTCCATCATCTGGAAACATAACGAGAGAGATGGATGGTGAAACGACAGAAGGCTGCAGCAACGGGGCAGGATGGTGCTCTTCGTTTAAAACACCGATAACACACGCATGCACGTGCACGCGCTTGCATCCTGTGTTTTAGTGCGTTTTGTGGACAGAGCGCAAATTAACGCAGCCTGCCACACGTTGACCTGCTCTCATGATGAACTTCTATCATCATCTTCTATTTAGCAAACATCTACAAGTTCTCATGGATAAGATGACGACGTCCACGGCCGAGTGATTGTTGCATTGAAAACTACATTTGAGCGTCAACTGGCTCCGTGGGGAAGTGCGGGATTGTTACAGCACCTTCAATAAAATATCACATTTCTGCTGATAGACCTAAAGTTACTTCATGGAAGACTAAGAATCGGTCCCACTGATCTAAAGAAACCTTTTCCTGCAACATACTCGGGCCTACAAGTTGTAAAACTTGCCAAACAGGGTAAGTACTGACCATGCAGGGTGGAAAAACTTCGGCTTGGAGACATTTTTTTTTTTTATTTATTCTTCGAAACTCAAAAACCGTTTGGACTCTGAAGTCTCTGGCATAGCTCTGGCACACCCGATAACAAAATGATGCACGGTTTATTACATCAACAGGAGTTGTAATCTGATGGAGGGCTTAACAGACGGAGCATGAGGCGCGAGCTACCGACTATTCAAGAAACCCAGAGGTGCTGGAAGAACGCCAAGAACGCAGCCTTTGAAAATTAATAATAGATTACACAAAACACACAGAATTCAACCTCAGTTAAAGGACGTGTGTCCGAGTTAATTTTTCTTTAGCTGTAAAACATCTCCAATCATTTGGAGAATTTTAATCAAACTCACAACAAAGTAATCATCTGAAACCGATTCGCTTTAGGAGTCGGCTCAGCTCGGGAAGGTCACCGCCCTTGAGCAAACGTAGCAAACACAAAAATTTAACATATGTGGCAATGCCTGAGAGTTATCACCAACATATGCTAATTTCAGCTTGTTATGCTCCTTTCAGTTTATTTCTGCAAGTTTCAGCCTTTTCTACTATTTCAGCTACTATTTAGCTGTTTTTATGTGGATTTAAGCTTTTGTAGCTAATTCCACATTTTTTGCACTTCAACTTTTTTCAGCCTAATTCATGCTCTCTCCACTTCCTTATGGTAATGTAAGCTTCTTTTGGCTTTTTAGCTACTTTTCAGCTGTTTTTGTTGTTTTGCTAGTTTCAGCGTTTTCTACTATTTCAGCTTACTATTTAGCTGTTTTTATGTTGATATAAGCTTTTGTAGCTAATTCCACATTTTTTGCACTTTAACTTTTTTCAGCCTAATTTGTGCTCTCTCCACTTCCTTAAGGTAATGTAAGCTTCTTTTGGCTTTTTAGCTACTTTTCAGCTGTTTGTTTTTTTTTTGCTAGTTTCAGCGTTTTGCAATAATTTCCACTTATTTGTGTTAATTTCTTCTTTAAGCAAATGTGTTCTTTCTGCTTTTTCCGCTAATTTAAACTTGTTCTACATTTTGTTACTTTTTTTTAGCTTTTTTTGGTGCTAATTTTAGCCGTTTTCAGATGAATTCGAGTTTTTCTTGGTAATCGTTGCTACTTTCAGCCTAAGTAACGTCTTTCTGCTAATTTCAGCGTGCTATATCCATGTCAGCTTTTTTCTACTAGTTTCAGGTTTTTCTTCTATTTCAGCGACTATTTGGCTGTTTCTGTGCCAAATTTAGCCTTTTCAGCTAATTCCACATTTTCTGAGGTCATTTCAGATTCTTCCACTTCCTTCTGGTAATTTAAGCTTCTTTCTGCATCGTCAGCTACTTTTCAGTTTTTATGCTAATTTCAGACTTTTTAGCAAATTTTCTAATTTTTGTGTTAATTTCTGCTCATTTAAACTGAAATCAGCAAATATGTGTTTTTTTCTGATTTCTTCTGCCAACTTGGGCTTGTTCTTCCATTTCAGCTATATTTCAGCATGTTTTTAGCTAATTTCAGCTGTTCATCAGCAATATGCATTCACATTGCATTTTCACAGGAATTGTAACTTCCCTAGTTAAAACCATTTAAAAAAAATGTATAATTTATTTTTCTCTACAGCATATAGTTCACAAAACCTGTTTTGTGCTTTTTAAGACATGAAAGAAACCTACGGCTACTTTTAATATCCTAGAGGAATTTAACTCAGCGCCCACCCAATCACTACGTAGACTGCCCTTTTTACATTATAAGCTGAATATATTAAAGAAAACACCCAAAAAGTATCATTTAGAAAAATGTCAGTCTGTTCCAGAGTGACGTATTCCCCCCGTATAATAGGACCATTAAAACGGGCCACACGACGTGAACCATAAAATAGGACTGCTTGGTGAAGAAACAGATAACAAGAAAATAATTTCCGTGGCGGTATAATGCATCTAACCGTAAAAATAGAAGCTGTTAGTGTTCAGTTCGGAGAGTTTAATGTGAACCACAAATCTCTTTAAGTCCATACTGAGAGGCGTATAAAACATTTCCACACATTGCAAATATCTCCTCAAAAGCTTGTTAAAAAAAGAAGGCAGGTCTGAATTTGATTAAGCGGCCTTCAGGGGAGCTCATGAGCTTGTTTATTCTTTGAGAAGGACCCGACGG